TCTTCATTTGCCGCGCTTTTTGCCTCTCCCTCTACCTTTTGGAGGAGATGGAGGAGGAGGCTGAAAAGCAATTCGCGCACTCTTCCCATTGACTTGACCAGCAGCCAGTTTACCTGATAGATTCCTTTGCCCTTGAGGACCTGAGCTTGAACCATTCCACACCTTATTCTTCTTATGGATTACCAGAGTAAAACCTTCCTCATCAACCAAACCCCCTTGAGATGGAGGAGTTTTAGTATCTGCAGGCTGGATAGCACACACTGGTTCCTCAGTCAACACAGCCTTGCCCTTATCAGTCATTACTGCTATAGAAACATCACCATTATCAGTTGCATTAGCTTCTTTAGACTCACTCTGCACTTCCTTTTCACTTGTTGAAATAGATATCTGAGCCTCACCAATAAGTGGAACTTTCTTCTGCCATTCTTGCTTTGTCACCTCACCAGCCTTACTGCAGCTATGTCCAAACATACAACAATTTTCACACACTTTTGGCATATGATAATATTCAACCTCGATGAAAAGCTCAGGCAACCCATCTGGCGTAACACTCAACTTTGAAACCTTCTTTGCACTAGTCTTAACCTCTACACAGACTTGAGCAAAACCAACCTTCTTACCTCGAGTAGTGGACTTGTCCATACAGAACGGACGACCAAGATAGCTTGCCACTCGTCCCAGACCCTCCTTGGAAGTGAGTTCCGTTGGCAGATGCGAGAGTTTCACCCAGATTGGTAGCGACGAATTGTCGAGCTTCAAAGGACTAATCCCTGGTTCCCATTTACGCAGGAACAACGAGTTCTCCCTATGATGCCAAGGACCGCTCTCGAAAACCCACTGACAGATCTCAGCATTAGGAAATTGAAAGAGAACTAGCCTCCTCCCCATTCCCGAAACTCGAACTTCCCCATCTTTCCCCCAGAGCCAGTTAGCCCAGTATCTGATAGACGAGAGCGACGCCGGGCGATCAATAAATTGCCCCACCATACTGTTCTCCCAACGTTTTGCACCTTCTTCCACAACCTCCCTCGGAATCCGCAGCGAGCCATTAACGTACTCCGGCTCATAGTAATCCAAACGGTTATCCTCCGGGATTCCGAACAACGATACCCACGATCGACCATCACCGACGGCTGCCGCTTCGTCAGTGACGGCCGCCATCGGTAGGAACTCAAATTTAGGGTTCAGAAAAAGAGAGAGAGAAGAGAGAGAGTTTATTTTAAGGTTTGTTTAGCCTAGTTTTGAGTTTGTTTACTCTTTTTAATTTCTCTTAACATTTCCCTCTTTTTTTTCTACAAAATTGCAAATTCACCTCTTCTATTGCTTATTTGCTTTCCATTCCCTCTCCTTTTTATCTGTCGACAATGGCGATTAGTCACATCTTACCTTCTATCTCAGACGATAGTCAAATCCGTCCATGCGCCCCTGCTTACATCTCTCTCCTATATTTTATATTTGTAGCCTCTCTCTACCCTCTCTTAGAAAAGAAAATTAAAAGACTTTTTGGTTTGTGGTTGTTACTACTCGGCCCTCTCTCTTTTATAGGAGAGTTTTTTTAAGTATATTATTTATTGGAAAGTCTCGAAGAAGATATTTTGTTCTCCTAAATAATATGATAAAGTTAAAAATAATACCTGTAAATATGATGAAGTTTACAAATTATCCTTCATAATATTGCAAATTGGGTACATAATGTATGCATAGTTACTAATTAGGGTCCGACTTAATGCTTGCAAAAGACACATTTTCAAAAGCGGCAAACCACAGTCAAAATGTTTACAAAGTTACAAATGATAAAAGCTACCAATTGAGATGACAATATTTACAAACATTAGAAACAACTGACAAACGTTACAAATAAATCACAAAAAACAAATCAAGGATTATAAATATATCAAGTCGTAATTAAGGGAAGAAATACTATTTTCATTTTAAAAAAGACCTAATTGAAAATTTTACATCACATAGTATTGAAAATTTTACCACTGGGGAAAAATTACTTCAATGGGGGATTGCAGGTGTTATGTGTCTTTTGTGCTTTGTGGCCATGATTTAAAGACTAGATCACTTATGTTTGCAGGGGTTATGTGTCTTTTGTGCTTTGTTTGGGTCAGTAATACATTTAAAGTACAAGCTGATGTGGCAAGAATTGATAAATTTATGTGGAGTTCTATGATCAGTACTGTGTGCATATCTGCAAAGTATGAGGGTGGCCTTTGCAGGTGGCTGTGAATTTGGAAATGGTCAAGCAGTTGGAATTTGAAGAATGGTCATCCATCTCCATCTTACATCCAATGATCCATAAAAAGAACAATTAAATTTAGGTTCACTGCGGTGATTAATTCACTGTTTTTAATAAAAATGGTGATTCATTGTCTTCGTCTATTACGGTGATTTTATTCACTGTTTTGGTCAATCACGGTGATGAACAAACATGTGTACTTTGAGATTTTTTTAATAACTTGTGTATTCTGGGGATTTTTCCTAAGTTACATAACAAAACAAAAAATGATAAAACTACTAAAATAATATAAATACAAACAAAGAAAATAAATGCTAAACTAACAGCTTGATAGTTTTCTACTAGTTACCGAGGTTCCCCGGCAACGGCGCTAAAAAGCTTGATTGATTAATTTTATGCAGGTCACTATCATTAGTTTGCACGTACCAATAACTACCTCATTCTAGTCCAGGTTTAACCTATAATGGCGTTGTCATATAGTGACAATCAAGGGATTAATGATATGGATCGGTAAATTGGATATGAATTATAGATACACTATATGTGGCAGTGGTAGAGGGAGGTGGTATATGGTATTGGCTAGATAAAAAAAAGATGAGCAAATTGTTGGGAATGCTACTATGTAAATAGATTATTGAGGTCTGACTTTTAGGATTAGTAGGTCCGGTCGAGAACCATGCTAGAAGGGGCTATTTATTGAGTTGACTTTGTTTTCTTTTGGTTGGCTTTGTAACAGGTTAAGAGGGCATACAATGCATTGAATGATGCGGGTGATTCAAAAGGAAATAAAGTTTGACATTATAGATTTTGCTGGAACTTAATCTAACTTCAAGAGTTGTAGATTTTCAAACAATTACATTTGTTAAATTTCTAGAGGTGGCAATTAGATCGGATTCGTGGATTCGTGGATTGGATTGGTGGATCCATGGATCAAATGGATTGGATCTAATGGATTGGTGGATTCATGGATTGGTGGATTCATCCATGAATCTAAATGACATCCAAGGGTTGGACCAAAATGTAAAATTTGAAAAGTTTTGGTACTAAAATGTCATAATGAAAATTTTTAGGTACCAAAATGTAATTTTCCAATGATATTTTTTGTATCAAAATATAAATTTTAGGTACCAAAATGTAAAATATTAAAAATACAGGTACCAAATCATAATTTGTCATTTGAATCCATGGATTGATCCATGAATCCACCAATCCAATTGGATTTGGATCAAATGGATTGGATTTAAATGGATTGGATTAGGTGGATAATTTGGTGGATTGATTGGATTGGATTCGTGGATTTGGATCCTAATTGCCACCTCTATTAAATTCCCTTCTGTTGATTTGTTTTATGAGTAATGTGAAAGCTGGAATGCAACTTAATTAGTGCAATTTATGTGGTATGAGTAATATGTGGTGTCGATCTGGAGCAGGGACAAGAATAAAAAACAAGGTTGTCAACCCGCGGGTTGACCCGGACCCGGTTAAGCTAGTAGGTCAAGGGTTAATGGGTCACCCGTTTTAGCCCGGTTTAGCCCGGAAATATGGAAAGCATCATTATATTGTACTTATCCTTATAAATTATATCAAATCTCATCTAACATATGAGTTATAACATATAATATTACACCAAAATAACATGTCGTACTTAGATTCAACATATAGTGAAAATTCAAACACACTTATATAACATTAATATTCAAATTTTCAACTTAGGATTCCAAAGATTGAGTTAGGCGAAAAGAAAAATCGGTAAATATGCGCATTTCGCAAAACAAAGAAAAAAATAACACAATTTGACCTCCAACCCGGTACATTGTAGCGGTCGACCCGGCGGGTGCTTGCGACCCGTTTTTCTCGCCGGGTCAGGGTCAAAGTGGGTCAACCCGCGGGTTGACAACCTTGATAAAAAATAAAGAAAAAGCCCCAAATCTACTCTGAAGCTTTTAGAGACGTTTTGGCAACGGTCGCTAAATTCCGTCGCTAAATTCTGTCGCTAAATAATTTGATTGTAGTAACCTGTTGTTAGCACTTGGCAGTTAGCAGGGGTTTAGAATTGATGCAGAACCCCAACAATGACATCCACCAGCGGTTTACAAAACTGCTGCCGTAATCTTGCAACGGTTTTGTAGGGGTTGCAAAAACCCCTGCCAGGTCTCCCCCAGCGAGGGTTTTAATGTGTGCTAAATTCCAAAAAATCCCCTGTCGTAGCCACTTTACCTTTGTAGTGAATATGACTAAGCCAATATGAATTATTTCATTTTAAATTGATTTGAATTGACAAGGTGAAAAACAAATATTTTAAAATAATACATCAATTGTGAGATGAGATAATCTCAACTTAATTGGAAACAACCCCTACAATTCCCCTACTCATTACCACCATGAACCATGAACGCTCTCTCGAATCCTTCAAACATATTAGATTGGAAGAGGGAAAGATTAAGTAGCCCAAATTTTTATATCATGTCACATTCTCCACATGACGCTTTAAACTAGGGCTGTCACTCGGTCGGTTTCGGTTTAACCGAAAACCGAATTGTCGGTTATCGGTCAAACCGAGACCTCGACCAGAGCTGCCGCCAACCGACCGTCTGTGCACCTCGGTTAGCCGCAAACCGACCGTTCGGTTTCCGGTTTCAACTCGGTTAGCCGGCCAACCGGAAACTACATTTTCTAAAAAAAAAAAAAAAATTAAAAGCAACGAGAAATCTGAACCACTCACTCCTAACCTAACCCCTCCATTTTCTCGATTCTTCTTCCCCTCCGTTTTCTCGATTTTCACGATTCTTCTTCCCCTCCGTTTTCTCGATTCTTCTTCCCAGGAATGGATGTTCGTCGTCCTCCTTGAATCCGAACGCCCCGCTGTTCGTCCCGATGGCTTACCAAGCGGTGGAGGATTTCTCCGATCAGTGGTGGTCGCTCATCCAATCTTCCACCTGGTTCCGCGACTACTGGCTCCAGGAGCGCTACCAGGATCCCCAATCCGACTTCTTCCTCCCCGACGACCTCGATTTCTTCGACGACGGCGCCGATTTCCTCAGCGGCAAAGGTACTTGAAGTTCTGGAACTACTTCTACCTAGGGATTTGATTTAAGCTCGCTGAGTTGCCATTCGACTCGCTCACTGACTCGGGGGTGTTTTTTTCTTTTGGTTGTTGTTGCAGATGTGGAGGAGAAGTAAGAGGAAGCGGCCCGGATGAAATGGGACATGGCGACGATGGTGGAGGGGAAGGGCTAGTCGGCGAGAAAGGAGAAGGTGAGGAGGGGGATCGGCGATTGTCGACTGATTTGGGGGAGGAGGCTGCGTGCGAGTGGCAGTTGGAGGGCGAGGGTGGAGGCTGGAGCTGCGTTGCCTTAGGGTTAGTGGGGGCAAGGGGCGGCGTCGTTTAAGGAAAGGGCAGGGGGTCGGTTAGCCGGTTAACCGCCGGTTTCTGACCCCGGTTAGTCGGCTACCCGGCCCACTGATTTCCTCTACCGCCAACCGACCGTGCTCTTTAGTTTCGGTTTTTTGGTTAGCCGAAAACCGGTCGGTTCGGTCGAAACCGACCGGTTAGCCGCTAACCGGAAAACGGATTGCCAGCCCTACTTTAAACTATTAATAAACCAACATGGTGGCCCACTTTCAATTCAACTACTAATTCCCGGAAACAACCCCAGCAACAATACACACAAAAGCCAGTTACAATAGGTTTCATATCATCGTTTCACATGACCTCGGATTGAAATGTGTGAATCCAACACCCACTTGCCATTTCTTTAGCACTTTATATTTTGTTTCTACACAAACTCTGAACTCTGGAGCTAGTATATATTTTTTTATCGATACAAACGTGGCCGGTGGATAGAAAATAGCGCTGAGTTGTTATTTTATTTTATCTTATCATCACATGCGCCTTCGATCAGATCCTTAAATAGGCAGACTGCAACCCAAAATCTTTCAGTAAACACAATCACACAGCTCCGCACAAAGCAAATTAAGCAGCGAAAAAAATAAAATGGGATCGAAGCGCATCGTGCTGAGCTCCAACAACCTCTACGTCCTTCCGTGGACGACAAGACCGTCGGCGTGGTGGACCCAGGCCGGGACCTCAACACCAACGACGTCGTACCACGCGACATCGACCAGGGGCGGCAGCTGGGGGCTGGTCGGCAACAACGCCCGGTCCACCCACCGGGAGCTGGAGGTGTTCGGCGTCGTCATCTCCGGGAAGAAGCTGGAGGACCTCTCCACCGACCTCATCAACCACCAGTGCGTCGCCAACCGCGAGGGCTTCATGATCATGTACTTCAACATCGGCGCCGGCGACATGTACCTCAAGAACCCGTCCAGCGTCATCCGCCGCCTCAACGACCTCTTCGACTGGTCCAAGTACGGCGTCACCGTCCCCGTCCCCGTCGCCACCGCGTGGGACCGCTTCGAGGTCAACACCGGCAAGCTCATGGTGGACAAAAACCTGGGAGACGGGAAGAAGGTACGTACGTATTAATGTTTGTTATAAATCAAACCGATTTATAATACTTAATCATTTCTTTATACGTCACTCAAACGAAAAGTAACGGCTTAGCTTAAAGTTTGTACAGACTGAGAAGAATCAGAGTTTGGAGAAAAATGCTCGTTAGAGCTACCATTGATGCTGAATCAGCTTATATACAAGCAATTAATTACTTCACTTCCATTCTTCTTCTTCGTAAACGTCACCGTTTGAGGCTCTGCATTCTTCTTTGTTCTTCGTTCTTCATCAACAGCAGAGCCTCCATTCTTCTTGACAGCAAGGCTGCAAGATGGATCATCGACCCTCTCTGTTACCCTCCCACAAGCTGGCGAGTATAGGTTCTACTCCCAGCTTGGATAACAAAAGAGCAAAGCGATCAATAGGTAAACTTTTTGTAAAGATATCTGCTAGCTGTGATTCAGTTGGCATATGGTGAAGAGAGATCAAACCAGACTGAACATGTTCTCTGATCACATGACAATCCACATCAATATGTTTTGTTCTTTCATGGAATACTGGGCTTTTTGCTATGTGGATTGTCGACTGGTTGTCACAGTAGACCTTGACTGGGTGATCATGTTTAATTGCAAAGTCCCCCAACAACCTGATCAACCACTAAACTTCACAGCTCAGGCTAGCCAAAGCCCTGTACTTGGCTTCAGAAGACGACCTTGACACTGTCTTCTGCTTATTGCTATTCCAAGTGACAATTCCATATCCAAGGAAAGTACAATAGCCAGTAATATACTTCCTTGAATCAAGACAAGTTGCCCAATCAGAGTCACTAAACCCTGTAAGAGCAAGAGTGTTCTCCCTTGGATAGAGCAATCCCTAACCTAGTGAGTTCTTCAAATATCTGAGAACTCTATGTAGTGCCCTTAGATGCAGGGAAGTAGAGTTATCCTGGTACTGACATAGCTGTTGTACAACAAAGCTAATGTCAGGTCTGGTGGTGGTAAGATACTGCAGCTGGCCTACAAGGTGTTTATACTCACCAATGTTCTTCAAAGGAACACCTCCCTCTGCTGATAGCACTTCCTTCACATAGATGGGAGTAGCAGTTGGCTTGCAGTCTTGGAATCCTGACTCATTTAAGAGATCAAGACAATATTTTCTCTGGGATACAGTGATCCCCTTTACTCCTCTCACAACTTCCAATCCAAGGAAGTATTTCAATTTTCCTAGATCCTTCATCTTGAACTCGCCCTTCAGTAGACTCTTGGTCTTGTTGATTGCCTCTAAACTGATGCTCCCAATTAATATGTCATCTACATAAACAATCAGTACAGCCAACTCTCCAAGGATCTGTGCAGTAAAGATGGAATAATCACAAGCAAATTGTTTGAATCCATGTCTCAACAAGCTCTCTGTTAGTTTCATGTACCATTGTCTGCTTGCTTGTTTCAGGCCATAGATTGACTTTTTCAGGTGACAAACTTTCCCTTCTTTAGCTGTCTGATCATCTAAACCAGGTGGTATTTCCGGATGAAATCCCATAATACATATATTTTTAAAAGAAATTCTCAAAATACACACGTTATAAAAAAATTTTCCAAAATATACATGTTTGTGCATCACCGCTGTTGTCAACCGCAGTGAATGCATTCACCGCGGCAGACCAAAGCGGTGAATGCATCACCACGGTTGACGGCCGCGGTGAATGTCTGACGTAACACTGAAATTTCAAACAAACGTAACTTTGCGCTCGATTATCCGATTGTAGAGAATTTTTTTTGATTCCATATAACTTTTCAAGATCTTTCAATCTGAAGAAAGACTTAATCTCAAAAAAATGTCGTTTGTTACCCCGAACGAGCAATTTTTCGATTTTGCCAAACTTTGGAAGACCATAACTTTTAGCTCCTCAATCCGAACGTCGTAAAGTTTTTATTTATTGCGTATAACTTTTTAAGAACTACAACTTTTACTAGGAAAGAATTTTAAAAAAAGAAATGTTTTTGGGTATACGGGATTTTGGCAATAACTTTGCCTTTACTTTTCACAAATCCACATACTTTCCAAAATTATGGTTATAATAAAAGTTGTAGTACTTCAAAAGTTATGCGAAATCAAAAAAAAATTCATGACATTCGGATTGTGGAGCACAAAGTTATGGTCTTCCAAAGTTTGTCAAAACCGAAAAATTGCTCGTTCGGGGTAGCAAACGAATTTTTTTTGGGATGAAGGCTTGTCAAAGATTGAAAGATCTTGAAAAGTTATGTGGAATCAAAAAAAAATTCGCTACAATCGGATAACCGAGCGCAAAGTTACGTTTATTTGAAGTTTCAGTGTTACGTCAGGCATTCACCGCGGCCGTCAACCGAGGTGATGCATTCACCGCTTTGGTCTGCCGCGGTGAATGCAATCACTACGGTTGACAATAGTGGTGATGCCCAAACATGTGTATTTTGGGGAAAAAAATTATAACGTGTGTATTTTGGGAATTTTTTTAAAAAGCATGTGTATTTTAGAATTTTTTCCTGGTATTTCCATCTAGACCTCTTCAGTTAGATCCCCATTCAGAAAAGCATTACTCACATCCATTTGATGTAGGTGCCACCCTTGTGTAGCTACCACTGCGAGCAAAGTTTTCACAGTAGTCAATACCATAGATTTGGGCGAAACCCTTAGCTACCACTCTTGCTTTGTCTCTCTATTGTTCCATCAAAATTTAACTTCAACTTCCACACCCATTTGTTCCCAATGATCTTCTTTCTAGGTGGTGGGAACTTAATCTCCTATGTCCCATTTTCACACAAGGCTTTCATTCATCCTGTGTTGCCTTGTTCAATTTGGATCCTTGATGGTTTCCTCATATGAGGTTGGTTCAGTATAGGTAGCAAGGCTGTTTATGAAGTGTTGATGTTTTGGTGAAAGTTGACTATAGGACATGGCTTTACTAATGGGATACTGGACATAATCATCATCATGCCAGTTGGGTGGTTTAGTTATTCTGGTGGGCTTTCTTTGGGCAAGAGGTGGAGTAGGTGATGAGTGTGGTGAAAAAGCAGGAGTCGAATCATGGGAAGTAGAGGGAGTTGGGGAAGAAGGTATTGAAAAGGGAATAGGGGAGATGGTAGGAGAAGGTAGTGGATCATCAGGATGAGAGGAGGAAGAAGAAGAGGGTAAGGGAGTGTGAGTGCCCCTGTAGATTGATGATCTACTGAGACTGGAGGCTCACTAGATTGATTTGGATACAAGGTGAATAGGTAGTAGATGGCATTGGAAAAGAACGAGGTGGAGGGAAGAAATCAGAGGAAGAAGGAATGGGATCAGGAGAGGATGAGGCTGCATAGGGAATGATGTGTTCATAAAAATGAACATCCCTTAAAATAAAAACTCTCTTGGTTTCAAGATCAAGCAACTTGAAACCTTTAATGTCTATTGGGATTCCCAAGAACACACATTGTTTGGCTTTGGGTGTGAATTTTGTTCTATGGGGTCCTGCAGTAGAGGCATAAACAAGGCAGCCAAACACCTTAAGAGTGCTATAGTCTTGGGGGAAACCATACAACATCTCAAAGGGTTACTTGTTGCTCAAGACTGGAGTAGGTAAACGGTTAATGAGGAAAGCAGCATGGAGAACAAACTCACTCCAGTATGACAATGGGAGTCCTGATTGAAACTTGAGAGCCCTGGAAACATTGAGGAGATATTGGTGCTTCCTCTCAACTCTCCCATTCTGCCGGGGTGTGTAAACCACACTCATTTGGTGCTCATTCCCATGC